ATTTGAAATGATAATGGATAATTTACCATGCATGTCTGCCTTCACTGGTCATTGTTCATATTCTATGTGTATTTGAAATGATAATGGATAATTTACCATGCATGTCTGCCTTCACTGGTCATTGTTCATAATCCGTGTGTATTTGAAATGATGATGGATAATTTACCATACATGTCTGCCATCACTGGTCATTATTCATAATCTGTGTGTATTTGAAATGATGACGGATAATTTACCATGCATGTCTGCCTTCACTGATTCGCATTACCTGTGTGTGTATTTGAAATGATGATGGATAATTTACCATACATGTCTGCCATCACTGGTCATTATTCATAATCTGTGTGTATTTGAAATGATGATGGATAATTTACCATGCATGTCTGCCTTCACTGATTCGCATTACCCGTGTGTGTTTTATATAATGGTGGATAATTTACCATACATGTCTGCCTTACTTTTCACAATTCACATTCTATTGTATTTAAAATATGACAGAAAAATAAAAACTATATCTGCCTTCACTGGTCATTATTCATATTCTAATTGTTAACAAAATTCGATGAATTTTTGGTGTATAACGTTTTTAAGGTGTCAAAGATTTAAGGACATTTTTACGAATGCATTCCAAATTCTAACCAGCTTCAAATAAAGAATGTTAATAATTTTACATATTTGCCTTAATCATTCAAAATAAAATAGATGAAGTTATTGAGCCAAATGAAGATGTTTTGGTAAATGAAGTTATTGAGCCAAATGAAGATGTTTTGGTAAATGAAGTTATTGAGCCAAATGAAGATGTTTTGGTAAATGAAGTTATTGAGCCAAATGAAGATGTTTTGGTAAGTGAACTTATTGAGCCAAATGAATATGTTTTGGTAAGTGAACTTATTGAGCCAAATGAAGATGTTTTGGTAAGTGAACTTATTGAGCCAAATGAAGATGTTTTGGTAAATGAACTTATTGAGCCAAATGAAGATGTTTTTGTAAGTGAACTTATTGAGCCAAATGAAGATGTTTTGGTAAATGAAATTATTCAGTAAGAAAGCTTTTTAGTTCTAAGTATAAACCAGATGAATTAATGATCTCTTTCATGTTGAAGGAGAACCAGTGTCTGGGTATAACCATAATTATATTGGGCCTACCACAAGAAAACTTCTTAGTTAAATAAGTGAACACTGTAGGATAAAAACTCCAACCATTAAAGCATTACCTGCTTCTACATCGGGGCATTTTTCTGTACTTTGTTAAAACGTCTAATTATGATATTTATTACAGAACATGGATAATTCTTATAAAAGGTACTAAAAACCACTTTAGCACCGGTTAAGTATTTCATGATCTAATTCATGAATCATTAATATTTATTTTAAGGTGTGAAAATATTTTTCAAAACCTAGTTACTTATATTTCTATAAAAACGTTCATCAATTAAAATCATAAATAATTTTTATCTTTTTATTTTTATGATTTTATCCTTATACACAAGTGCCAAAATACTATAATTACATTCATCAATATTAGCCAAGAAAAATGGAACATGGCACGATATGTAAACTCTCACGACTGTGCTGAATAAATGAAAGGTCCTTACGAGTCTAGTGTCCATCGTTCCGTATACTAAGTGGCTAATTAAAACTTCCATCGTTCCGTATACTAAGAGGCTAATTAAAACTTCCATCGTTCCGTATACTAAGTGGCTAATTAAAACTTCCATCGTTCCGTATACTAAGTGGCTAATTAAAACTTCCATCGTTCCGTATACTAAGTGGCTAATTAAAACTTCCATCGTTCCGTATACTAAGAGGCTAATTAAAACTTCCATCGTTCCGTATACTAAGAGGCTAATTAAAACTTCCATCGTTCCGTATACTAAGTGGCTAATTAAAGCGTTCGTCTTTGAGCTTGATCCATGAGAGTGAAAATCTAAAACGCGAACATGAGTGGCTATTATTTCTTCCAAGTTTCATGATTATTTATTGCAAAATTAATTCCAATCTCTGAACTATGTAAACAACGTTTTATGCTAAATTACTTCCATAAAAAGTCCTAGCCTACATATCAGTACTACTATAAGTGAAACAAAATATAATCAGTGTTAGCGTTTAGATATCACTTACCCTTATGATGCAACGGACAATGGTAGAAAACTGAGTGGATCTGGAACCGAAAACACAAGCGTTAGGAACTAAATACACGTCTCCCGTTCTCTCATCACACAGTACAAGCATAATGTGCCAAAAACGTAGGTTTGACAGTATTTCAGGAACCACGAATTTCCCGATCCACTGAAAGTGAAGGTAAACAGAACATCCCAACTCTGCGAGGAGAGGATAAGTTGTGTTATGTAATCCTGCGCCACGAGTTTTAATAGAGCACTCTGCACCAATCAGAAATTGAATATCCTGTTGAAGATTGTGCGATATTCCCCTGACCTTGTTCACCCTCCGAACTCGTAATCATCAGTTTACGTTTCATCTTCGACAAAGTACAGTGGCAAGTCATCACAAACTGTTGTCAACATCTCAGTAAACATTGACTTTGTTTGCTTCCTACTAGCTAAGAACGTTACAAATATAAATTAAATGAAGTAAAGTAACTCACCTTTTGTTCCAGCAGGTGTTTACTGGAAGACGTTCCTGGTGGAAACTTTGTGATTCGAAGTTCTCCAGCTAATTTAATCTTGATAACACCAAGTTTCGGTATTAATCTTGATCACACCAAGTTTCGGTAGATTGAAAACTGTGTTTTACTCAGAACATCAAGTAAAACGTCAAGCTCCCGTCCCAAACATGATCTTATTATATTTTATCACATGTAGACAACATATTAAAAGTAAAAAATGATTTTAAAGATATAACCATGATTTTAATTTTTGTACTCTTCAACTGTTAAAAGAACTGCTTTTGAGCTCGAGTGCTCAACGTATTCGTTCCTAATCTTCTTAATAGCTACAGACAAACATTTCCAGAGTAAAACAATAAACATTTGGAACCATATCCATCAGATAGTTTTATTTCTTGTTCCATTTAATATTGTTGTATAATCTACAATAATTATTCGTATAATGCTGTGATTTTGACATGCGGGTATTTTAGACGTTTGCCAATTGGAAAAGTTAGACGCTGCTAAAAATTTATATTGTTGCATGATTAGGATTTATTCAAATTAAATAGCTGCCTTTATCATAGAATAATAAAGTTAATAGTTTTTGTTTGGATCTTGTTCTCTCGTAATTAAAAATAAGCTTAGTCAACGATGATTGCTTTATAGTGTACAGCCTGCTTGTAACGGTACTTTTTGGGGTTTTTACAAGTAAACAAGGTTTTCGGCTATTTATAGTACTCTATGATGTAACTAATTTATAACTGCAAAGTAAATCAAACAGAGACAACAGGAACGTGATCGTAATAATTAAACTACTTCGCTCTGGGTAATCTGTATTATTTCTGTCTGTTAACGTATCTTCTATGTGTGCACATTGCACCATCTCGGTGCACTTACAGCTATGTGAATCTTACATTACACTGTAACACGCCAGTTCTGTGCTATGCCCCATTCTTCATCGTGTTTATAAAGGGCACCATTACCGAGTACTCAGTTGTAATCAGTTCTTATCCTTATAATTTGCATTGTTAGCGTACTATTTTGTGTTCAGTTAAGATCGGTTTGCATCTTCTAAAATCGTCGTTAACGTTCCCTATTTGTGTAATCAGTTATGATCAGTTTGCATCGACTAAAATCATTGTTAACGTTCGCTTTTTGTGTACTCACTTATGATCAGTTTGCGTTCATTACTTTGGATTACCCTGTACGATCATGTACTTCTACGTTTACAGATTAATTTTTGATCTTATATTACTTCGGGCTCATTTGGAATAATTTCGTTTTTACTACAGTTTGATTATTTCGCATATATGCCCAAAGCTATACAAAAGCTATCTTTAATTTTAAATATTAAAGCTAACTTTGAATTGATAGACAGCTAGTCAATTTACTCAATACCAGGTTTAGGGATACTCTGAATGAATAGTAGGGTTTGACTCTTTCTCGTATACTGTAACTACGGACCTAAAATGCCGAAACAATTTTGAGACAACGGGATGAAAAACGTGGACCCTCGGATTCACAGTCCGACAGAAGAACGACTAGGCAACCCCAGCCATGTTAAAACTGTAAACGATTTCGTAAACTTCTTGGGTCAAAAACAGAATTAATAAGTATTTCTCTTTAATAATTTTTCGACCAATGCAATCCTATTTAGGATATCTCACAAACAGATTTAGCTTTCTTTTAAACCACTAGTATGTGAGAAGAGCCCCTTTCCCACAGTTCATTTCATACTTCGTTACCTCAGTTCAATGACAAAACAAGTAGGATGCAGTTTTTAAAGGAAAATAAAACTAGCATTTTCTCATCTTTCTTTATCATTCAATCAAGTATCCTCGACCTTTCAGCATACTCCGTTAAAGCCCAGATACCGTAGACCTCAAACAGTTTACACATTGTGGTGAGTGAAAGGTTGATAGAGATCATCAACATAGTCGATGTCACTAAATACGAGGATGTAAAACCATAAACGAAGTTAGAATAATAATGAAATTGAAGGACTAAAACTTAAACAGAAGTATGGACTGCAGGTAAATGAATCGGAGCGAAATTAGAATATCTAAGCTACAAAGAAATTTGCAATTAGGAATGGAAAATATCGTAATCAATAGGCTAAGAAAAAAATTAAATTTAGAAAGAGAACTGAAAGTATAAAGGTCAGAGCACATCGAGAAAAAAATTATAATTAGATAGAGAATTTAAATCAGAATTAAGAAATTCCAGGAAAAATTAGAATTAGAAAGATGCATGAAAATATCGGTGCCAAGGAATTGTGAGGGAAAATTGGAAAATGAAGTGAGAAAATTTAACAAATAAGAGTCAAAGAACTACGAAAAAACCGAAAGTTGAAACTATCAAAGTTAAGGAACTACAAACAAAAAATTTGAAAGAAAATTTATAATGCAAGAGTCGGGGAACTAGTAGGAAAATTTTGAATTAGTGAGAAAATTGAAAACGTCACACAGAACTGAGGAAAAATGTTAAAATTTCAGAATAGAGAGGAAACATTGAAATTAAGAACCACATGACAAATTCAAAGTTGGGGACTGTTAGAAAACGTTAGAATTAGAGATAAAAACAAAGTATCGTAATTAAGAAATTGAGAAAAAGATTAGAAGTGGAGAAGGAAAATATAAGATAAGAGTTCGAAAACTTAGGGGACTGAAAGAAGCATTAGAATTAGTGAGGAAATATGACAACTTAAGAGAAATAGCAGAGCTGATATACTGTGAAAACAATAATGATTGGATAAAGGTTAAAAAAAAAGTGCAGGCTGATTGTTAGTGCACCGGACTGTAGATCTGAGGATCCCCTGTTCGCATCCCGTTGCTGCAAAATCGTACTCCGAACTTATGTGCCATAGCTGCTTTATAAAAGAGACGGTCAACTCTCAGTATTCAATTAGAATAACCGAAGAGTTGGCGTTGAGTACTTTCACTAACCTCCTGTCTATTTCTTCAAAAGATAGCACTTGCAAATATCGGATACAAAAAACTGAAACTACGAAAAAAAGGTAAATTTAAAAAACTTTACTTTAAAACATAAAACTAAGAGATTGAGTTGAATTTGAAAATAAGAAAATCAGCAGATTTAGGACCTTACCGGTAAAATTGATAGATTAAACAATGGGGGAAATAATAATGTTCAATAGTGGAATTTTAAGACGGTGAAAAAGAGTATAATAAAGATGATGGAGTTAAAATGAAAGTTAATGGTTAAAATTACATTCAGAATAAGACAGAAAAGCTACAGAATGTAATTAAAGAAATAGAATCAGGAAACGTCTGAGTTTAATAATAATGTTTCCCACAGAGATTACAAGTTAACGAATTGTAAGATAATATTAAACTTGAAATAATATTACTGTAAATATATATATATATGTGTGTGTGTGTGTGTCAATTTCACATTTTGCAGTGTTAAGCGCTAAAGCTAATGAAGCTAAGCCGAATGAAGCATGTCTTTCATATTAGCTAGTTTTTAGTGGCGCTGA